AAAAAAAAAAAAAGCAACTATGGTTGTACAAACTACCACAAATCAGTTTTGAGAGTTATACAAATTATAGCAAAGAAAAACAGGAGATATTTCAAGGGTCTATACACAAAAACTTGGATCAAGGCAAAGAACTGAGGTGCTTTATGACCCTGTGACTCTGGAAGAAAAGCCACTGGTCAGTACTGGGCCCCAGCACCACCCACGCAACTTGTTAAATAATTCAGCTGCACACATGGCACTCTGAGATGTGCGCCTCTACACGATTCCCTTCATCATGTACTGTGGTTGCTTTAGTCACTAGGTAGAAGTAGGCTGGTTTCCTAGAAAATCTTAAAGCATGTACATTGCTACGTATGATCCAAATGAGGTGGATGAAAATAATTAGCTGCAAACCAAGAAGAAAAATCTCTGGGTTACTGGAGTTTACAAAAGCAGGATCCAAGCTATCTGACACGATGGGCCTCAGACACTTAGATTGAAACCTAGAAGAAGCCTGAAAAGCAGCCAGAGCGGCAGGCAGGACACGTGGCCTGAATAAAGGCAGGCTTCTCCCTTACAGCAGGGATGCAGGTCGGCCTGACAAGTCACCCACCATACCCAACTGGTAGGTCCCAGCTGTTGGCATATGGAATCAAGTGCTTGTAAAGCAGTCCAGGCCTTTCCTAGGCCGACTCACCAGACCACTGGCAACCATGACATGTGTTCACTGGTCTTCCCACTCTACTGCCCTCGGTTACTTCATTCAGGCTTCCTGGGGCCCACTTTTCCTGTTGGTGTCAGAGAGCAGCAAACATGTGACACAATCTCCTAAAACTTGGATATGTCGAACAGGTCTTTCTTAACCTCCCAGTCCAACCCTAAGAGCTATTAGCCACCTTTAAATGCCTCAAGTCTGAGGAAAAAAATAAATAGCTTTTATAGACCAATTAAACAAACTTCTACAATGTTCATTATTGAATGCAGTCTTTAGAACAGTTTATGCCAACATGATCATGATCACAGAGGATCACAGAGAATGAATTCCATATTTGTTTTATATTTACATGTCGAGTAAATTGGTGTACACTGCTAATACAAAATCCTAGGCTCCTGAGAAAGCTACCAGAAGACTGCAGTGAAAATAAAATATTCCTATCCTACAGTGACAAATTATAAAACTTATTTTTGTATCATTAATTTCTGGTACTTATTCTCTATTATCACAGCATTACAAGCCATTTAATGAGACCAAGTTTTTTTCTATCACACACTACATTGGGAATAACAGAAGACAGCATTTATTATCTGCTAATATTGAGTGTTGTTCTGTGTACATTAAATATCTCACCTCATTTAATATTCACAACTCTATTAGGTAGGTACACATGATGAAACAGGCTCAGAGGTATCAAATCCCCTGCCCAAGGTCAGATCACTGGTCTTCAGATCATTCTGTGTCTAAGCTGATTATGTACTATGCATAATAAATAAACTTCAAATACATGTATGAGAAGAGAATATAGCCATAAACATTTAAATTGAAATGAAAATGAGTTCATTGCATTATCATTTTAAAAAAAAGAAAAAACCTTACACACTCCAGCACATTTTGCTACTCTTGCCAAAAAAAAAGAAAAAAAAACCAAATAGATTCCAACTAGTCTATACTTCCATTTATATTTAGAATATGAGCTGGGCATGAATATGTAATGAATATATATTTGTGTGTGTCTCTGTGTGTATAACACCCACATCATTCAAAAGCTCCCCAAAATGTGAAAAGTTTGTTCCAATCCTTCTCTATTTTGTCTACTTTAAGCATTCTTTGCAATATGCTTCTGTAAACACTGCTTTTAACTGCTGTTCTCATTTCTCAAATCTTCAGCTTATACATAGATTGGAAAAGTGACAAACCTACACGACATCTCTGAAACACAAAACCAAGGAGATACAAACAAATACAACTAGATAAAAAACAAAGGAGTCTTGTTCAAACCCTTAAACTTACCACTACTGATGTGTGGAAAGAACGGAAGGAAAGTAGAATATACCAGATGTGGATAAGGGCCATGTGTGTGCGCATGCACACGTACGTGCATATACTTGGACGGGTGTCTATTTTATTAGCACACATGATAATCAGCATTTTACCTTAGTTTATAAAAGCTCCATAGAAACTTAAAAATCTAAACAAAAGAAGGTTCTGAAGTTAGAGTAATTGGAAGAGTGTTTCTGAAAACAGTTCCAGGTGAAGCCAATAGGTGAATGCCTTCAGTTTTCCTAAACCAGAATCCACGTTACAGTTCAATTGTATCATAGCTCATTGACTGCAGGCTATTTGCCCCAGTCCACACTTCAGAGGGATGCTGAAAGGATTTAGGGTAGAGTAAAAATATAACCATTCTACTTACCTGACGCCGAACCGTCATTACAGACGTAAGTAAAGATTATGATAATATCACACATCATAAAGCACGGTGCAAATGATATGCTACCATGAAAATACTATGAGTTGTGAATATACTATTTCCACTTACAAGTGTGAAACTCACCAGTGTTGACGTCAGGACCTGAAATTAAGTATTACATGTGACAGTGATGGGAAACCCAAACCAAGAGACACTTCTTGATGAGGACTTAGCAATCCTATTAATGGGTTTTGCACTTTGATATAATATAATGAACCCATTACTGCAAACACATTCTAGGTAGAACATTTTTGACACAGTTGAGAGCTGAACATGCACCTGGTATGTATCTTCTCCATGTAAGTTAATAATATTATAGATGTTCTTATATAAGCAAAGTAATACTAAGAATAATTTTACCAAAATAAGGAGAGACTTTTATACTCATCCGACATTGTGTAAGTGTGAGAATTATTCTAGATTCATAATTGCAGATGCTTTACTTATAATGATGTATTGTCAGAGAATAAAAATAACCATTCCTAGAATTAGGAAAAATTGACAAAAAGTCTAATAAAATTCTCAGTGTTTCTAGAGATGACTTTCTTGTTTCAGGGTGATCAAACTCACATTTAAAAAATAGAGAATGTTCAGCCTATAAGTGATCAAGGGCTAAGTTAGTGGCTTTGGCCCTTGCTCTGCTGAAGAAAGCACAGAGGGAGAATGTAGCTTTTGGAAAGAGAACAGATATTGGCAGGCTCCAGATTTTACTTGGAGCATCTCAACCCACATCCAGCCGGGTGTGAAGAGATGGCAGATGGGATTGCTTCTGTTATTTCCACTGCTGAAGCATCCTCTGTGTTTCTGCAAGCATGAATATTCAGCCATAATAAAGAGCAAGGATAAGTGTGCTGACTGTATTAGGCAGGTACCAAAAAACTCTTTATCCCTTTTCTCCTACAACGGATTAAGACAAAAAAAATCAACATTTAGAAAATACCACTTCTGCCAACCTTAAAAAAGGCTTATTATTCAATGAAATGATGCTGGTTTTCATCTATTTAATGTAAATGTATGGAAAGAAATGTGTGGGCAAAGAAAACCAGAGTAATTAGCATTTTAGAGAAAAGAAATTTAAAGGTGCTACACTGAATCAATAATTATTTTGTACTTTTATTTTATTCTCATGATTTCATTATTTTCCCAGAAAATGCTGAGTGGGCATTAGTGTATCAAGGTTCATCATTGAGAACGCAAACCCGATTCCTCTAAATACCACAGCAAACCTCTACACGCCATGTTACCTGTGTGTAAGGAAGGCCTAGCTGTAATTCTACATCTTAAAAAGGACTATTGAATCCAAAGAGGGTAAAGTTGCTATAAATAGAAGAAATGAAGTGACCGTTTATCTATGGGAAATACTGTGATAATCCCTAAGGTATGTCATCATCCCCACCCCTCCCATAGGACAGAGAAAAGTCTAGAAAGAAAATAATACATCTATATTTGCTACTAAGAGTCTAATGATGCTGAAAGAAAATATAAAGTCCACCTGCCCAGGTTGTGAGGGAAAACATCTATTAAAACTTCACCTCTCATCCAAAAAAAAAAAAAAGTGATATTATATTGGGTTGTTGGAAAAGTCATGACGCATTTTTGCAACGAAAAACAGAAAAAAATACGTCATGACTTTTTGGACAACCCAATATATGTGGGGAAGTTCTTCAAGAGATTTTAAAAGTGAGTAAATACCTCAAAGAATAATATGAACTCCATCCTCCACACGACACTTCTCACTAGAAACCAATTATGTAGGAAAGGTGGCATGAGCCAATCAGGTCTCCCTGTGTCCCCTTCGACTACCAGGTAACATGCTGGGAACCAGAGAGATGTCTCAGACCCACTGATGATTCCTAGGGCCCAGCAAGTTACTTATTTTAAAAATAAACAATTCTTAATAAGAGGATGGATATCAGCCTGCTCTTCAGAACTGAGAGGAGATTTCTCAGATGTTTTCACATTCTAATGAGCACACATTAGAGACGTAGTAAGGCACACATGTGGAAGTTGAGATAAACTTACGAAGTAGCCTGTTCCCAAGCTGGAAGGAGCTGAACTCTGCAATAAAGCATAAAGACAAAGTGGAAAATCAGCGATGGTTTTTAACACGTTCCAATCCACACAGCTCATTACCAGCCCTTTGCAAGCTTTTCATCACTACATCACATCGCCAGTGTATGCTGCCCCTTGTCATCTGCTCCTGATACAAACACCGTGTTGCTTAATTTTCCCCTTTACATCTCTCAACAGCTCAGAGATGCTAACGTGCTATTTACTGAATTCCAAGCTTCTGCGGTGGACGTAATTGCCAATTTATTTGACAGGCAGCTGGGTAATGAATTAATGATGGCATTTCGCCCTGCACTGAGACTGAGCAGACACACGTCGGCCGCCTGCCTGACTTGCTGACATTCAATGCCCTGGACCCCAGCTCCTCAGCTGTGCAGCCGCAGAGGGGCAGCGAGAAGAAACGCCTAGGCTGACTTGAAAAGAGAAGCCCCATGGGTTTGGATGACTTTTCCAGTGGATGACCTACGTGCCCATTTATTCCCTAAAGGCACCAGTTAGTACACATAGAGCGCTTTTCAAAAAAGGAGACATTTTGTAAACATAATTAGTAGACTAAAATGCAGAGAACGTATGGGTAAAGGGAAGCAGGGAAAAGCACTGTATAAGTCCCAGAAATTAGCAACCCAAGCTCCCATAGTTCTGACATATGGAGGCTAAAAGCAGTAATCCTGAAAGGTACTCAGGGCATCGCTTCTTGAGGAAGAAGGCGAACAGAAAACTTTGTGTTTTAAATTTGCCTGCGAGTCTTTCTTGTTTATATGTTTGTTTCTTTTTCTCCTAAAACATCTCATTACAAATTCTTTAACTTTTAGTGTCCTCTTTGTGAAAAACAGAGGCCCCAAATAAGCTTGAAACAAACAGAATGCTGATGCTGAGGCAGCCTGTAGGTCTCAACTACGTGTCCCCTACAAGCAAGGTCCCCTCTGATGGGGTCGCCGTTGCAGGAGGCCTGACTTCCGCTCTGACGCCAGTGACTCCGTTCACCTCCAGCTCTCCACCCAAACACCCTGTCCTGCTCTGCAAACTGCGCGTGGCAGGGCAATGTGGTGCACTGGTCCTTGCTTCCCCAGAGCTCAGCACCGCGCCTTGCTCTCGGGATGCATTTAATAAGTATCTGTTCAGTTAATGTGTATGTAAAGGGATGAAGGGACTGCATAGGGGAAAATGGCTTAGGTGAACTCAGAGTCTCACAAAATGCAATAGGTGTGATTCTTCTTGATGTTAACTGTTTCTGAGAAAGAAGTACAGTGCTGTAAGTACACAGCGTTCGTATCAAACAAGGGTAGTGTGCTCCCGTCCATTCCAATGCAGCTCCCAAAGCAAAACTTCCTTTGCCACCATGTTTCAGATGAGCTCAGGGAGTAAAGGCCAGCAGATGTGTGATCTCACACACTGGACCTGGTTTAAAAAACTCCTACTGCATTCCTGATTCCATAAATGGTGTGTAGGGAGATCCACAGTAGTCATGGAGACAGCCTCTCACGGCAGTGTTCAGCCACGTGATAACAGCACCTGTTTCCAGCACCCACAGAAGAAGGCAAAACCCAGGTTAGGTCTCCACCAGCCTGGAGTCAGACTCCTGGGAGGGAAAATCATTTTAGGATGAATTACCAGAGAAAACATGGAATTTGTTTATTTCAGGGCTTTTTTCCCCCTTCCTGCAAATGTATTTTATCCCAGACGCAGAAGTACCCCTCCAAACGCACTTCCCCACCCCCACATACATATCATCTTATTGTATATCAAAGAAAATTACATCCTTCAGGTCTCGGAAAGCTCTGTTATACTCATTTTGCATATATATTGTATATTACTCAGGGAGCTGGGTGGAGAAGAGAGCTTTGTTGTGCATATTTGTTCTGGCTATTGTTTATGCAGGTCTGACTGAATGAGGGAACAGTGGGTATCATTTCAATTTCTGATGTCAACATCAAATTACTTATTTAATTTCATGCCTGGCGAAGCATTGTATAGCTACACGCAAAATCATTTCACTTCATTTGTTATGCTGTGTTTTCGTGGCGATTGGCTTGCCTTCCAACTGACAGCTTTAATTACGACATGAATTTGATTGCACTGCCGAGGAATTAACATAATGCAACAAAGCATTTAAGGGCCCTGCCTTATAACACTCCCTACACCGGCACTCACAGACAGCCACATGATGAACACAGGCACCAGTTCCTCATGTACCGTGAAGGCCCGCTGGAGTGTGTCAGCATTTGCCGGAAAGCAAACAGAACCTTACAGTCAGACGACCCCCATTCTCTAATCCACTCCACTCACTTATTCTTGTTTTAATAGGCAAAGATTTGTGACATTAAGTTGTGATTTCTGGACCTGGCAGAAAACTTTGTCAAAAAACTCTTCTCATCTACTTTGCATTGACATTTCCTCCCCTTACTCCCTTTTCCACCATATTTTTTCTCAGCCAACTGCCAGCTTCCTTCAATCATAGCTGGAAAATTTGAACAGAATCGACATCTCTGAAACAAAGAGATTTCTCCTTGTCCAGCTCTATGTTCCCAGGACTCTGACTGTGGCCTGGTGTGCAGGTCACCACTCCTGGTTGCCAACAGGCCCTCCACCATTAGACACAAGGAACAAACAAGTTCTGAGAGCAGCAACAGGCCAGGAGATACGTGCACTGACAGCCCATGACACAAAGGCCCAGGAAACATCTTGGTCACATATGCCTCATCTAAGTCTGTATCGAAATACAGCTGCAAATATTGGAGAGCAGTAACATTTTCCCAAGTCAGAAATTCCATGAAGACCCTAAACCATGGGCAACGATAAATTAGGCTACAAAAATGGAATAATGTTTAGAAACAGCTATTTATTGTTTAAATGTGTTAGGTTAGCTATTCATTTATAGGTGAGCATTTAGGGATTGGTACTGCTTTCTCGTGTTATAGAAAAAGAGACAGGCAGCAAGAGGTAAAGGCCTAGGGAGACAGACAGGTGGGGGTGTCCCGGCCACTGAACCATTTGATGACATAAAGTTGATTTCAACTTTCTGTATTTTCCATCTGTTCCTAATGAGAGGAGGGGTCTTCCATTTTTCCAGCTTGAAGAGAGGAGGCAAATGCTGGCCAAACTATATACTTAACGTGGCCATAGAATCCAGAAAAGCCTGAGTCAAACTGAGGCTTGAAAAGGAGACACTTCTAAAAGGAGACGTGTTTTTAAAATGCAGCAAAAAGCATTAAAAAATAGCATTTGAAATAATACCATACACCCATGTTTAGGTTTTTTTTGAATAATGAAATAGGCTTCATTCTTATTTCTTCGAGTAGCAGAGTGGCCAATTCATTCATATTTTCATGTAATAGGTAGAAATGAGAGGTATAGAGAGACTGAGAAAATAGAGTAGGAGAAAGTGTTTAGCAGTTTGCATGAGAAGACAAGGACATGAAAAAGTGCCAGCCAGCTGGCTGCCTGAGCCGTGATTTCTGGGCTCATTATAAGGCATCTCCTGTTTAACATGGTCTTTTCATTCTACTGTGTTTTTTGCAGATTTGACCACTGCTCTAGCAATTGCTGCAAATTACCCATCTCGATCTCATTATGTTGCAAAGGAGAGATTTCTTACAAACACGCTGCCTCATTCTCCCAGCTACCATGGGCTGCAGAACAGTAATAGGATGCGCCGTTGAAAGACATTTTCCAGGAGGTAGAATGATGCTGCTGACATTCAAGACTGCAAGTGGATATTCATTAAACCTCATTCCACTCTTCCTCACTGCTCCCCACCTGGCTGGCTTTCCATCTCTGTCACTAAGCTATCACTGAAGCTACTCATTAAACTCGTGGAGTTAACATTTCTGTGTTAACAGGTTACCTACAACAAGGGATTTCAAAATTGATTATCCATCTAAACTAGATGTGCTCCATTCATTAGAGATCTACACAGGGAGGCCGCGGGTACCATCTCCGCTCCCTGAGTATGAAATGGATGTGCTCCACCCTCAGATGAGACGTGTGTTCTGACCCCAGGGCTAATTTAAATAGGATATTTAAAACTGTTCCAAATCACCAATTGTGTCTGACATCCCTGTCTACCCACCTCCATTAATGCTGTTCTCTCGTGGGAGTAAAAAGCAGAAACATCATGGCCAAGTACAGGTCTTACAAAGGTCACAAAACAAGCTCATTTATGGATTCTTCATAGCGTTTTAGGAAACAATGACAATTAAAAGAACATGAAATCTTAATCCTAAGACATGTGCCTTGGAAATAAGATTACTAATAGCTGCTACAGACGCAAAACACTATATTTGAATGGGAAAATGAGCTCCCAGGAGAATTCAAGTAAAAATGGGCGGAGGGTAACAACTTGATAAAAGCAAGAGGCATGATGGATACGGTCACTTCCAGCTTCAACTGCCCAGCCCTCTGTTATAACCCACTTCAGGCTGTCACTAGCTCTCATTCACACTCAACAGCTTCTTGGCTTATTTTGCTGATTTCGTTCTTGCTCTCATCGTTATCTGCAGTTCTTCATATAAAAGGCAAAGCAAACAATTTAAAGTAAAAATTATAACAACGTTCCTTTAATATCTTCCAGACACAGGCTTTTAAACTAATAACTTACAGCGGGTTGGACAGCATCTCTCTAAAGCTCACATTCAGCAGAAGCCTCAGAATGTGATGAAGGTTAACCTGACTGGCATCAGCGTGCGGGGGCCACGGGGCCCCCAGACACTCGGTCCCACGCTGGTCTGGTGTTACTGTGAGGATGCTTTGGGATGAGTTTCATGTTTCGATCCATACACCGAATACAGCATACTGCCCCACCCTGATGTGGCCTGGGCCTCATCCAATCAGTTTCATAAAACAAAAAAATGATCATCCTCAGCATAAGAGGAAACTCCTGTCTGACGGCCTTCAAGCTGGTACAACGGTTTTTCCTGCTTTCAGACCCACACTGAACCACTGACTCTCCCTGGGTCTCGAGCCTTCTGGTCTGTGGCCTGGAATCACAC